AGGCCATCGCTCTTAGGCTGGAGGCCATCGCTAGTAGGTTGGAGGCCATCGCTAGTAGGTTGGAGGCCATGGCTGGAGGCCATCGCTAGTAGGTTGGAGGCCATCGCTATTAGGCTGGAGGCCATTGCTAGTAGGTTGGAGGCCATTGCTAGTAGGTTGGAGGCCATCACTGGTAGGTTGGAGGCCATTGCTAGTAGGTTGAAGGCCATCGCTCTTAGGCTGGAGGCCTTTGCTAGTAGCCATCTAGGCCCAGGCCTCCCCGTGGCGGTGGCGGGACCCTGCCGTGGACAGGGTGCGGACTGGGCCCTGCTATCCGGTTGCCATGGACGACTTGGACCTCGAGCGTGGATTGATCTCCATCCTCCAGGAGTTCTCCCTTTGGGGTGATGCTCAGGCCATCCTTCCAGATCGGCCGAGCCTTCTGGTCCAGGACATGCGCCTGCAAACTCCTTCAGATTTGTTTGCCTTTGAGGGTTCTCATCTGGTGGCTGCTGGCAGAGGGGCGGCGGAGTTCATGATGGATTCGGTGTGGATTGGCAGTGACACTCCAATGGCACACAGGATTCAGCTCCTCTGGCGATCGAACTCCAAACCTGTCATGCACAATCTTGCTATGCAGGGTTTCCTGGACAAGTGTTTACTCTGGAATGTGGAGTTGCTATATCCCCCTCAGAGTCAAAGGGCTGACATTGCAGTTGATGACCGTTCCTGCATTTTGCCCTTGCGAAAAGGGAAGACAGGCCCTGTCAGGGCTTTGCATCTTTTTGGAGGCGCCTGGGGGGGTTGGTCCTTTGCTGGCCAGGTCCTCTCCGAGATGGGGGTAGAGGTTCTGTCAGGTACAGTGGAACTTGATTTTGCTGCCGCTCGAACCTATGCTATCTCACACCGTTGTCCCCTGCTCACAACGGGCGAAGATGATCCTCTGCCTCCTTTGGCACTGCATTCCTTTCCTGAGGGCTGGTGCTTGTGGGCCGATGTCATGGACTCCTCTTGGTGGGAAGCTGCGGCAGTCTGGGGTCCAGAGATTGTTACAATTTCCGCACCATGTCCACCGTGGAGTGAGCTGCCGCTCAACGGGGGTTACATTCCTTAGATGGTCAGCTCCAGTTCAGGAGTATCGCTCTGTGCAAGCTGTTGAGGCCTAAGTTGATCTTGATCGAGCAAGTGGCTGCTTTCCATGCCCATCCTCATCGGAAATGGATTCAAAAGGTGCTCTGGTTTGCAGGATACCAACTCCGTTTCTCACATGTCATTGAGTTGGGGGACATTATGCCGGTCAAGCGAGCCAGATGGCTGGGAATTGCTTACTTCATTCATGAGTTTGATGTGAAGTTCCCGCCCTTGTCCTCCTGGAACATTGAAAGAACTGTCACGTTGGAGGAGTTGGACTGCATTCTTAGCTGGTCTCCCTCCATCCGACAGCGACTTGTGGTCCCCGAGGAAGCTTTGCACCAGGCCGCCCAGCAGATTCCACTGGATAGAGGCAACAAGCAGGCTCGTAGATGCTCAGCAGATGAGGCTGCCCATTCACATGAGTTTACACCTCAAGATCGCAGCCTGCCCACCTTCATGGCTCAGTATGGCAGTCAGCATCGCCTACATGTGGAGCTGCTTGAAAGAAAAGGATACTTTGCCCATTGGTTGAAAGAGGCGGAGGATTCGGGCTCACGCTTTTGGCATCCAGCGGAGATTGCATTGATCCATGGTGCTTGGAGTGGCTTTTGGACTTCAGCTAACTTGGAAGCTGAATGGAAAGGCCTTGGGAACCAGATTGCTATCCCTCATGCCTTGTGGCTGCTCACCCAGGCTGTCAATATGCTGGCGGGTCGTGATCCCCGACTTGACTGGTCAGAGGTTTGGAGATACTTCGATGAACATCGTATGTTGGCATCAGCCATGAAGTCCCAAACTTTTGCGGCTGGTACAATGTGGATGCAGCAGCATACCTCTTTCACATTGCAGACAGAGGTGGTCGACCAGCTCTTTGAGGAGGGCATGGACTGTCTTCCCAAGGGACAATGTTGGATTCCGGACTTCGGCCTCACCAAGATCCAAGAGTTCATGAGCTCCAAAGGGTGCATTTTGGAAGTTCACTGCCTAAAGCCTGCAGCAACAACCAGAGCTCCTCCTACACAGGAAGACCCACTGTCAGCCACCATGCCTATGCGTGTGATGCTGCGTTGTCGGGTGGTTTTCAATTCAGGCAGCAAGCTCTTCACAGTGGAGTCGAACACACCCGTGGAAGCAATTTTGGCATTGTGATTCGTGGGAGCTGGAGGACCAGGACCGTTTTTTCCCTCTGCCTGAAGTTCCTGAGGCAAGTGGACAGGGCACTCCAGGTCTGTGCATCGCCATCCTGCAGCATGACACCTTTGACATGCGATTTACTGAGCATGGTTCTCTGGCTCAGGAGCTTCTGTCTGCCGATGAAAGGGAGCAACTGTGGTATGATCAGTTTGGCTTGGTTCCTCTCAGGGCACCCATTTTGCCTGAGATGATGCTGACCAAGTTCGACTGGGGGCACACCCCACTGCACTTTGGGGCTGAGGAGATTTGGGAATCAGTTCGAGGGGTGCAATGCTTTGGTCATTGGAATCACAAGCAAGACATCCATGCCATCCGAGGACTCGGCAATATTGCTGAATGCCAACTCTGGGCTACCATCTGGGAAAGCGCACTTACAGCAGAGGGCCGGGCTAGCTTCGCCCTGGAAGTGGCCTGTGAGCTCACAGAGATTGATTTCCAGGTGACGGTGTCTGTCGGTAAATCTATGGCCATTCCCCCCCGCCAGTTTCTCCTCTGGTGGGCAGTCCGAGCCTTCAGGAGCACCTTGGATTGCGTGCGAGTTCCAGCTGGCATCTTCGTGTCCATCCGATGGTGCAAGCGACAGCTATGGGAGGGTCACTTGGCAGAAGACCTTCAGGCAGCGCAGTTGATCAACCTGGTCCAGAGGCTATGGGACCCAGTGCTGGGCAATGAAGAGATTCGTTTGATCGACAGTGCTTCTGCTTCCAGATCGCTGCCTGAACACCCCTTGAATGTCCTCAACACCTGGAATCACAAGGCTGGGGCCTTTGTCCTCCACATCATCACGAGGGTGCAAGGAGGAGGAGGTGGCAAGAACCCACAGATCGTTGCGTTGAAGAATGAGGTGGCTGGCACTCTTTTGGATCTTCAATATGAGCTCACCTGGATCTCTAAAGCAGTGGACAGCCTTTTCAACCACCTGGGCCATGCTGCCATCGCTGCCTTGATGAATGGGAAAAAGGAGACCCGTGCAACAGCTGTCCTTCAGGCGATGAAACAGATTGGGCTTGAGATGCCTCGCAAACGTTCTGGTGCCCTGGATAGCCAGAGCTCTGCTCGTGAGAGTCAACTTTCCAAGAGGAAACCGCCTGAGATTAATCTCTCCACTGTCACCATCATGCAGGGCTTCCTTCTCAATGAGGATGACTCCAATGCCACTCAGCTATCCACGGTTGTCCCTCAGTCATCTGGCGTTTTCTTGGCTCACCTGGAACAGGCCTTACCTTGGATTCGGGAAAACTCTCTTCTCTCCAAGGATGAATTGGGCATCATCGTTGTGACCCAGAAGCCAGTGGACACATCCCTTAAGCATCAGCACGTCACTTTGCCCTGTGAGATCCCAGGAGCTGACCCAATTATCTTGGCTGGCATCCTCATCCAGTTTTGGTGAAAAGCAGCTCAAGTGTGTGGAGGGGGCACATCGCCTGAGCGACCCAACCTGTGGGAGCATTGCCTTCACACTATGGCAGCAAGATTGGGATCCTGAGGACTGGACCCGGATCCTTGATTCGACTACGCCTTTCATCCAGACGATCTTCACAGAGAGCGGGTGTCCTGATCTCATCAAGTCTACTTGGGGGAGGTCTCTGAGAAATCGCAATCGAGCGGTCCATGCTGCACAAGCTACGTCAGTACAGCTGCACGGAAGCGTGGCTCCTGATCACATCCCAAGAATCTTGCAAGCGAGCGGATTCAACAGAATTTTCTGCACGCCCAAGGGCCCGGACGGGAGGCAGGACCAGAGATTTCGGGTGATTTGGTCTGAGGGGGACATCCCACGCCTCACTTCGCTCTCCAAGCAGACCTCAGGCTGCTTAGGCTTGGTGAAAGGCAGAGAGGGAATGGGATTGAGATTCCGTCAGGAGGATTTCCTTGCAGCTTGGCGTGTCATTTGCCCTTCGAAGGAAGCACCGCCAGACCTTAATGGTGCAGCTTTGGTCAAGGTGCAGCCTTTGCCCTTCGGTACGTCGAGGGAGCAGTTGACCCAGTGGGCCCTCACGTACAAATGGGCCATTAGGCCACTTCGCCAAGTGGGCGCCAGAGCATGGCTGATCGCTACGACAGAGGACATCCCCAGCGGCATCCTGATGTTCAATGCAGCTCCAGTGCTTGCAAGAGTGTTGCCACCAAAGACTGAGGAACGCAAGTCACCTATCATTGCAGGAGATGCCATGCTAAGCTGGAACAACACAGCTGCAAGTTCCATGCCTTCTCAAGGAGC